ATGTATATACATATATTTATATAAAAAAAATTGTGAGCAAATAGTTAATTTAAATCATAATTAATGGAATATAACTTGTGACAAGTAAGTAATTAAGAGTATCCAATAACCTGTATTAATTAAGTAAAACAAATAATGATTACTTTATGATAAACAATTATCTTAATTTATTCTATTTACACATATGTATGTATATTTTTTGTTCCACAAATAAGGCAAAAAAAAAAAAGAAAAAAAGAAAAAAAAAGCGAGGAAAGAAAAGTTGTTAGTAATAACAACGATTGGTATTTTAATTTCTCAACAATTTGGAACATTTACCGGAGAGAATGAACCCGAGGAACTGGTTTTTCGTTGGATGAATGAAATTATTTTATTGGTGAATGATTTTGGTAAGCCTTTTTTACAAAAAAAAAAGAAAAAGAAAAAATTTTGAAGTAGAAAAGAAAAATTCAAAAAAAAAGTCCATTTTGCTAAAAGAATTTTTATGACCTCAGGGAAATAAGAGCAATGTATGAGTAATCAAAATAAATAAACGTTATGAATTAGCAAATTGTTTTGTTTGGTAAAAAGTACCAGCAAACAATATCCTACAATTGAGAGTTACGAATTACGAAAGAAAATCAAAGGAACTGGGATAGAGTAATAGCATTGAAAAGCAATAAATACATCATCAAATCTATCGTGTCATCATCATCATTATTATTATCATTATCATTGTTTACATGAAGATTTTCAAAGTAAGGAATAAAATTTGAAAATAGTAAACGTGAAAGTGAGGATGATATAGAGGGTAAATTCAGATAAGAGGTAGGAAGGTTTCAGAAATGTTGGAATGTGCTTTGGTAGATCTATAAAGGCGGGCGAAAAAGGGGGAGGGGGGAGGGAGAGGGTAAAGAGAAGTAGATGATAGAAGAGGAGGAAGAGGAGGATGAAATACAGGTGCAGGAATGCCATCATCATGCGATGATACATATGTCGTCCACCTTCACCCTTACTTCTTTAACTCCCCACCCCCTCCTCCTCCTTCCTAGTTCTCGTCTCTTTTCCCCTTCACGCCATCCTTACAATAGCCAATTGAAACGAAAGAGGTGATGTGACGGTACGGCAAAAATCTTCTGAATTGGGCCGTGACCAATGACCACATCAGACACAGAGCCAGTTGAACCTTTTGATGCATACGTAGTATAGTATATTGCTCACCTCTTCCTCCTCGTCCTCCTCCTCCTCCTTCTCGTCCTCCTCCTCCTGCTCCTCCTCTTCCTTCACATTCCCGGATAAGGCAAGATACCCACTTCTCACTTGGGCAACTTTTCCTCTCGCCAACATAGCAATTGCAATTCCTCCCTTGTTCAGCCTTTCGTCTCCAATCTTCTTACTACCACAACTGCTCCTCAATGAGACTTTAGTTCAAATTTCACTTCCCTGATACCTTCTCCCTTTGTCATTTGCAACCATACCATATACCCCAACCTCTCTTATTATCATTGAGTTTGTTGTCAACTTACCCTCTCCCTTCCACTTCCTTTTTCACCACCATCCCTTTTCAGTTTCTGTCCTGTCTGTCCCCTTAATCTTATTCGTCCCCTGTGGTCTATCCTTTCTTACACTTTTACTGACACAAAATTCTCCTTAATTGCATTGTTGTATGATAAGGTTACTTACCAAATGAAACTTTGAGGTGATATACCTTGACATCTTCCATTTAATTGTCTTTTCATTTACATTCCGATTGCTTACTGATGTTCCCGCTTGTTTCTTTCCTACTAATCAAACATATTTCATATGGTGGAAGGATATATACTATCTTTGTGACATGCAAATCGATATCTAAGAAGTAATTCCGGGAATTGTTCCGAGAAATCCTGATAATCGAGAAATCCTGATAATCCATGGAATATATGGATGTGTTTCAGAATGATATTATCCATAAAATTGATGCCACTACTTATTATCACCAAGCATTGCTATAGGAGGATAGAAGATTTCGAAACAATCAAATACAAATAGCTTTAATGAATCAAATTTTGACGATTTAACAAGCAATAATTCCATACAATTAAACATGTCAAAAATGTTTAATTAAATGTCACCCAATTAAGAATGTATTCGGAACGTTGATATCCTGATAAATATTTCATGGATAAATTATTAAAATTATCATTTATTCATTCAATTTAATACACTGTATCATTTGGTATAATTACACGTTAAATGCAATCATTTCAATTTTTCCATTCAAATAGATTACAGATGCCTATCGAATAGCGCTTCTTTATGATCTATCCAACAATTAAGATTATCCGGTTAATCTCGGATTATTTAATTTTCGATTATTATCATGTTATAGCAATATGTTCGTTGATTTAATTAAAGCCTATAGGAATAATTCATTTATCCGTGTGGTGACATTGAATACCATCCATTCAATTAGCGCTAAATACATTCACATTTGTTGCGCACTTTTTAAAATAATTGGCAATTATGGATGGAAAATTTATTTGTAACAATCCTGATATAATTATCATCGTTATTATCGTCATCGTTATCATTATCATCATTTTGCTGCTTGCATTATCATTGCCATTAACACTATCACCATATGTTACTGTTTATTATATCATTAATCATTGCAACTGTCATCATTACCCCTATTCTTATCACTATTTTTATCTTAAAATCCCTTTAATCCTATTTGAACCGCAAATTCCTTCATTGAATATATTTCCTAGCGTTATGAAGAATAGTAACAAATAGTATGTAATATTTTTTAAAAAATGTAATCTTGAAACTTTCATGGAAGTAGACAAAATCGATCCGGTTAAAATACCCACTGAATACCGGATACGGTTACTATTACATGACATCTCGTGCAGTGTCGCAGTCGTATCACCTAAATGAAAGTTTTGAACGAAATGATGACAAAAAACTAGTATTAACTGAGTCTTTATTTTTCAGGGAAGCAATTTATGGCCTTATCCGGTTGTTATCAATTTTGGAGGAACGTTGGTCTAATGATTGGGGTTAATAGCCGAAGATGCTAGTTACGCTACAAGTTTCACGTTTTGTTAAGCTTGAAAGAGAATGAATCCTTGACATCCTAATTGGAATAATTTCACAATCAAATTATTTCCACCGAATTAATTAGCATCTAGTAGCGGTAGAGAGAAAGTGAAACCAGATGTATGAACAAAAAATGAGTGGAAATGATGGGAAGAAAAATGTGGCCAGGAATCATTAAGCTGGTAGTAAAGGTAACTTATTCCTTTCTTATTTTGCTAAATTTCAAAAATTGCAGTGAGCGTAATCTATGAGAAAAAAGTGACGTTAGTTAATTCATCCTATGTTCGCGTTGAAATTTGCATATCTTTTTATCAAATCCCTTGGGATATAAAAATTTCATAAGCGCAACCTCTGTATGGCATACGTCGGGAAGTTGGCGGACGAACGATTTCATATTTGAAAATGTTATCACGTATTTTGGGTGTACCGTTTGTTTTGTTTTACTGTTTGGTGTTAGGAAAAAAGAAATGTGTTTGTAGACGTTTCAGTGTTTGTGTATGATATTTTAGTGCTAATTAATGCAATGCTAATTATGGGAAAATGAATTTAAGCGTGTGGAGATAGCAGAGATGGACAAGAAGCGTAAGGAACCTCGTAAGGATAAGGAACCTGCTAAGCCAACACACGAGACCAGAAATCGTAATGTATGTGCTATTTTGGGTTTACGTTTAAAAAGTTAACAAGTTGAAGTGGAATTGTACGAATATTTAATTTCAAGCAAAATACGTGTCTTGAATTTTTCCAAGGAATGTTTGAAAATGTAACAGATCAAATTTGGAAACAGACATGATGAACAATTGAAATGAAATG